GACAGTTTTCTTTTTTTTTTTGAGACGGAGTCTGGCTCCTGTCGCCCAGGCTGGAGTGCGCTGGCCGGATTCTCAGCCTCCACTTCAAGCTTCCGCCTTCCCCGGTTTACGCCAGTTCTTTCCTGCCTCAGCCTTCCCGAGTAGCTGGGACTACAAAGCACCCCACCACCTCGCCCGGCCTAGTTTTTTGTTATTTTTGTTTAAGTAGAGAAAGGTTTCACCGGTGTGAAGGCACCTCAGATGTGTAGCACAATTACGGCATTATCTTCCTCAATTTGATAACTTTGCTGTCACCACTGCTATCATCAGGGCTTAATTTTGCCTTCTCTTGAGCTACCTATAACTGGAATTATACTACATATGCATTTTTTTTTTTGTATTTTATTTATCTTATTTCAGTAGTTTTAGGGGAAGAGGTGGTATGTGGTTGCATGGAAAAGTTCTTCAGTGGTGATTTCTGAGTTTTGGTGCACCTGTCACCTGAGCAGTGTACACTGCACCCAATGTACAGTCTTTTATCCCTTGCCCCCTCCTGTCCTTCCCCGGGAGTTTCCAAAGTACATCATTCTTATGCCTTTGCATCCTCATAGCTTAGCTCCCATGTACTCTGCAAATTTAAGACAGCTGCACAATACTTAGGACATGCCTCTGCTCCTTCCGCCTTAAAAGACTGCTAATTCTCCATAATGCGCTCTGGCTGGCAGGGGTACTTGAAAGCTGGGGCTTAATCCCCCCTTGGTGTTAATGCTTCAGACTAAGGCCAGGTCAGTTGTGTTCTGATCCCATGTTGCCCCCTCTTCTGAGGCTGCTGTGGATAGATCACGATGGCAGCATGGGAGTGAGGACCAATGATGGCCTCTTGGTGCCCATTTGTTACTTCTGGCTTCCAGTTTGGGCATATGCATTCCTAGCCCACTATCACTGCCAACAACTATTACCCACACTGGCAGTGAGACCATAAGAGCCTGGCCACACTGTTCAGGGCTGCCTTGTACCTGGTAGCTGCAAAGTGCCATGATGTCAGAAACAGAATCTGTCTACCTGCACCTAGAAAACCCCTGCATATGGAATAGTTCTCAAAAAAAATGATGTGACTGAATGCAGAGCAGAATACAGTGCTGGTGACGAGCATGCAGGCTTTGGACACGTCGGCACTGGACAAGGGAATCCAGTTTACCAGGGACCTTAAAACAGAGGGAAAGACAACTGTATGAGAGGCAGATGTCCCACATCCGGCACCTGACACATTTTAATCTTCAACTAGGCCAGATTTCACTAAAACTTAGTGCAACAAAGGTGTCTGGAATGTCATGCCCTAAATATTTAGTTATCTAAAAAACAGAACAAAACAGGAAAATACTCTACTTCTTCAGAAAACACAAATTTTTACTAAGAAGTTTGTGTACTTTTAAATATTCACTCTAGAGTTAAAGAGAACAAGAAAAAAAAAACCTCAAAGTATTAGAGAGGCAGGGCACAGTGGCTCACACTTGTAATCTCAGCACTTTGGGAGGCCAAGGCGGGAGGATAACTTGAGCCCATGGGGTTGAAGACCAACCTGGGCAACACTGTGAGACCCCCCATGTCTAAAAAAAAAAGTGCTGGAGAATGTTCATATTATACAATGTCTCCCATAGAAGTCGAGTGGGTTACTGAAATGTGAGCTCAAAACAGCATGCTCTGCCTCACTCAGGAGATAAGCGGTGAAAGCAGGAGGTTCTGGAGACGTGCTATTGAGTAAAGTTACTCATATCAGAGAGCCACAGAAATACGATCCTTTCCTGAAAATCTTATTCCTTGGAACAGTTGTTTTTCTTACTTTTAATGTGTCATATTTCTGTTATTTTTCACTCATTTACCCAGCCTCCCAACAAGTTATATCCAGTAAACATTGTCCACCCATTCTTCCATGTGGTAACTGCTTACTGAGTGTTTTTGTCCCAGGAACTATGTCAGGTATTTGGTAAATCAAGACACAATCTCCACCCTCTCTTAAAGGTCACCCTGTCACATACCAGATTTATGTAGTGGTGATTTCCCTGTAAGCTTGTGATTCCCTAAGCTTGTGATAGATTAAAATACGTTCATCTATCAATGTGGATATATGAGAACCCATTGGTTCTACCAACATTATTCTGTACTAATTGTTAACCAATGAGCATCTCCTGGATTTTCTTCCATCTCATTTTTTTTAAGAAAGTTCTTTATTTTTATTAATATATTATTTATTTATTTGAGACAGAGTCTCATTCTTTTGCCTAAGCTGGAGTACAGTGGCACAATCTAGGCTCATTGCAACCTCCACCACCCAGGTTCAAGTGATTCTCGTGCCTCAGCCTCCTGAATAGCTGAAACTACATGTGAACGCCACCACGCCCGGCTAATTTCTGTAATTTTCATAGAGACAGGGTTTCGTCTTGTTGGCCAGGTTGGTCTCAAACTCCTGGGCTGAAGTGATCTGCCTGCCTTGGCCTCCCAAAGTGCTGGGATTACGGGTGTGAGCCACCGTGCCCGGCCTGGCTATTGCATCCTTTAATCTAAAAGGTTTATTTTGCAAGCACACCCAAAAGGGATGACACCTGCAATAATCCCTCTGTTGCCAGGTGTGGTCGCTCATGCCTAGAGTCCCAGCACTCTGGGAGGCCAAGGTAGGAGGACTGCTTGAGCCCAGGAGTTCGAGACCAGACTGGACAACGGGGCAAAACCCCGTTCTCTACAAAAAAAATACAAAAATTAGCCAGATGTTGTGACTTGAGACTATAGTCTCAGTTATTAGGGAGGCTGAGGTGAGAGGATCGACTGAGCCCAGGAAGTCAAGTCTGCAGTAAGCCATGAGTGCACCATTGTACTCACTCCAGCCTGGGCAACACAGCAAGACCCTACCTCGAAAAAAATCCTTCCCTCAAGTTTAATTTGGATTACCAAGTAGGAGAGGAGGCTTGGGTCAATATTCCCCATGAAAGCAAAGGTGATGACAGGGTCATAGAGGAGCTGAGATAATCTATTTAACGGTATCTGATTGTTTTCAATAATTCAGCTCCCAGCTGATGGACAAATGTTACAAACAACTCCCTAACCATGGCGAGGGAATTTATCTGAGCACATTTGGAATTTAGGATCACTTAAAAGGGGAAATAAATAACAGTCTGCTTTTCACTGCTGGCCTCCACGTGGCAATAATTTACCAGCATTCCTTCGAGTCCCAGCAGCTTTGCAGCTCTTGGCCTTTAATCTAGAAGCCAAGCTCTGGCTCGAAGCCACGCCTCTAATGGATGAATCAGCAAAATGAATTGGCTGTCAACTGTGTCCTCCAGCGATTCCAGCTCCCCTGTCAGAAGCAGCATGTAGCAGGCTGCTGGGTAACACTAACCTTTTCCAAATTTGTCAGGGAAATGATTCAAGGCAATCTATCCGTCTTGCCACTTTGTGAAAGCCACTGGGGAACCAAACGTGCCAAGAGTCCTCCCTGTTTCCCTGGAGGTGAGTGGGAGCAGTTCCCTCACATAAGAGTCTCAACCACTCCAGCTTCACTGTGCCTGGTCCATTGTCTCTTGACACTGCACACAGCATAGCATTTAATCTTCGGATGTTCTAGTCACCACACAAATAAAGAGACTGAGCATCAGAGAAACTAAACAGCTTGCCCGAGGTCTTGTAGGTAAGCAACAAACCTGGCTTGGAAACAGGATGTGGCATATACACACACACCCACACACACACACACACACATTTTAACAATGTAATACTGCCACATGTCTGCTGTGTATTTATATGCATTTTGTTTATGTAGACAATTAGCTTATAAAATGCTTCCTGTATTAAGGAATTACTTAAAATGTTTACACTTTTTTTTTTTTTTTTTTTAGACGGAGTCTCGCTCTGTCACCCAGGCTGGAGTACAGTGGCCGGATCTCAGCTCACTGCAAGCTCCGCCTCCCGGGTTTACGCCATTCTCC